AACAACTTACATAAAAAGAACATAAAATCAGACCTGCGAGGAATACTGAGGAGACATATCCTTAGGACTTTAAAAAAAACTGAACTTTTCATAGAAAGAAAACCACAGTTAACAATTAATGATCATATTTATTCATGTGTCCCAGTTAGTTATGATAGCTCAACTGTGAAGACTACAAGCCTCACAACCAATCACACATCCTAAAGGTTATGCTTTTTGTTTAAAGGGCCCATGTCATGCTTTTCCGGTTATTAACCGTCCCCTTGTGTGTTACGTAGCTTGTTATGCATGTAAACGGTCTGCAGAGTCATAAACCCTCAAAGTACACCCTGTAGCGAGTAAAACTCTAACACAGAAAATACCTGTCTATGCTTCCCCAGAACGCCTCGTTGGAGATTTTTATTTTTCCATTGTTTTCTTCTTATAGTGTAGTAAGTACAGTGACGTATTGGGTATAGTGACGTAACGTCTCCGCGGACTTCCTCACACACACACACTCAATCTTTTCTCAGCTGCAGCTCCGCAGATTTCTCAGCCTGAACTCAGCCTGAACTCAGCCTGAGACGGCGAGACGCGGCAGGGCTCGTTCTGGGTTCGTTCTGAGCACACACGCAGACTCACAGCCAGGCTGCAGGTGTGTGTGTGGTCGGGCTGGGTTCAGGCTGGGTTTCGCTGTGTCTCGCTGTCTCACAGATCCCCCGCAGCAAGCCAGCTCACACTGTCTGCTCCAGCAGCGAGCCCCGCAACGTCCCGCCAACACGGCACCCAGACCCCACGCAGCATTCTCATCTGTTTGTCATTGCTGGTGTCATTTTCTGGTTGCTAACAAACGCCATTGTAACACATAATCACTGATGTTCCGCTGTAACGGTGATGGACTCATCAGAACAGAGTGGGCGAGCTGACCAATCAGAGCACAGTGGGCTCATAGGGAGGGGGGGGCAGGAGCTCCAACAAGCCGTTTAGGACAGAGAGTGAATACACATACTATACAGAGATGCTGTATGAGAAACCAATGTGATTTTGGAAAATTGCACAATTGCACCTCAACAATGGAATTATGATCAGTAGAAATGGCCATGACATGGGCCCTTTAACATCATACATACACAGATTTTTTAAACAATTTTGTTTAATTAGATTGAGTGCACGCAATCTTGGTAGAAATTGTGATTGTTAATTGTGTGTTGTGTTAATCTTATTGTCAGTGTCTTGCAGCTCACCATTCTCCTGGCAAAAGGCTGAGAGGATGAACAGCACCTGCTATGTAGATGTGCCTGGCTAATTGGACTGTGCCTTTCCCCTAAAACATTGAGGGGGGTTTAAAGAGGCTACTTTATCTAAGCCACCCATCTTTAGAGTCTCATCTCCCCTGCACTCAACAATGGACTGGCCAGCATTGGTATACATTCCTGCAGTGTGGAGAGGAAGCCAGTTGCTCTTGGGAAGAAGAGCACTGGCATCCAGTTTGGTGAAGTTTTTGTTAATTAATTAATGCTAGATTCTCAATTGTGTCTGTTTATATTAAATAATTCACCTTTTTGTCATCCTAATTGGTTTTTTGACCCATCCTAAAAACTAGTAATGGCGAGATGAAGCTTTGAAGCTTTCCAGCCAATTGGTTCGCAAAAGGGTTCATCTCATGAGGCTTCCTCATGGCCTTCCTCATGGGCTTCATCTGAACACATCTGGTCAAAGTGTGTAAAACAGGCAGATTTGACAATAGTGTGCTGTATATCATACCGAGTTCCCAATGAGTAAAGCCTTAGAATAACTCTAAACAACAAACATAAAATCATATTTTCATGTTAACAATATTGTATTTATTCCAGTTTAATGATTGTGATTGAAAAGCCTAAGGAGGCTGGTAAACATTGCAAAGAGGGATTTGTATTCCTTAATAATATTCGTAAACTTAACCATGTTGTAGCCTGAGAAAGGCTAAACCATATCAAAGAATACATTTATTAACTACTACATTATCACATTTAGCTGTAGCTTTTATAAACAAAAAAAAAGGCATATTGACCAGTCGTCGAACCAGGGACCCTGCGGTTAAAAATCAACTACTTTCCAGCTGAGGCACAGCACACACACTGAATCGAACTGAAAAAACTGGATACTATTTATTTCTGTATTTATTTATTCATGTTTTTATTCCTACATTTATTTATGCTTTTATTTATGTATATGACATGTTCCGACCTCTATATAAGTGAGGGTCTGAGCTCTCTTAATTCCATCGTGTCACCGGGCCCGGGTACAGGAAGGGTAATATTGTTCTTATTATACAACCATGGGTATTATGAGCGTTGTGGTTCAACCTATACAGTCTATGGTTCAACCATGGATGTGTTCAACCGATCTAAAGCACTTTCTGAAGCAGTCACGTGGTATTGAGGGGCAGCGAGGCTTGTCATCGGTGACGTCACTGGCCCAAAACGATACAAGCCTCGATACCAGCGCCGTATAGATGGATTTCTATTATAGGGCTCTGCTCGATGCAAGCTTCACAAAAAGCTTCGGGACACACGCTCCGAAGCCTCGGCGCAATACGTAACATCACTACTAAAAACTGTATATTTTTGGTCCTTCACAACAACAGAGAGATATCAGTAAGCTTAATGTGTGATATTATGAAATGCCTAAAGCATCTACCAGGTTCAAACTAAAGCTTTGGAATACGGAAACGGAACCTGATTAAAGTGGCTATAAAAAAAAATATGATTTGACTTTTTTCCTCCCTTAATTTGGGTGTTTCTTTGGGAGTTTTTGCTTGTCCGCTATGAGGGTACAAGGACAGAGGGTTTGTGATAATTTGTGTCCTTTGTGATATGGGCTACACAACTAATATATGATTGGTTGATATTAAAAATGAAGACACAATTTGATAAATTCTCCATTAGACCTTGGAGATGTTGGATCCTTATTACAGAATATGATACTCACGCACAACCACTGATCTGAAGTCTTTCCATACCTTTTACTTCATTGAAAATGCATGACAAAGGCTGGTGGATGACTCACAGACTGACAATACAAAAACATTTTCTCACATTTCTCCTCTGGTTTCTGGACGTGTAGACAGTTTCAGATTCTGATGCCTCCTTTCCTTTCAAGAAAACAGAGCCAATCCAATCCATGGAGCCCTGTGGATTTGTGTATGGAGAGAAGTGCACAGGTTCTGTAAGGAGATTCTACAGATCATTCCTTTTATTCCATTTTTGATGACAGGGTGGTATGAAGGAAGAAATGTTAGTCATGATGTCTCCAACCCTCTGAAGTAAAACCAAAGCTTGTGATGCAAACATGAAATGTGACATAACACGACATAACTTATTAAATGATTAAACAGTCTGCTTCTTTTTGATAAACAAGACAAAGAAGTGATCTGCTGTTGCCTCAGTTAAAATAGACAATAAAAAGTATGGTTATAAAATATAACGGCCTTTGGTAAAAATGGCATTGGGGGAAAAACAGCTTGCATTACAATATCACATGAAAATAAGCTTGATTAAATAACATTTCATAATGATGAGCTGAGCTCGAAACATTCATTCGATTTTTCCACAATTTGGTGGTAGTACCATCTATATTCATTTCAAGATCTATTTTGTTAAAAAAAATGTAAGAAACACATAAAAATGTAAGGATCCGAATTTAAGCAGCAGAAGCCGGGATTTTTTAAATGAAATGTTCTTGTAGGGGTCATGCTCCAGAAATGTCCCATAATACAACTATATAATGACGGTGATAATAGTTATAGCAATGCTTAACATGGATAAACAGAGAACTCACTTTATTTGAAATACAACTATGAGCTGACATTAACACTTTATATGTAAATCCGTTGAGTGCAAAACTAATATTTAGTAATTTGGGTAACAAGATAGCATTAATGTTAGGTTGCGTGGAAAGGGTAGGACCCAAATGCAGACTACAAAAAAGGTAAAAAGGTCTAGAAACAAAAAGGGAGCTTTATTTTAAAAAGCTGAACAAAAACATGGCATGAAACACATAGGTACTGTAGCACAAAAACTGACCGTGACCAACATGGAGGGAGACAGGAAAAACAATGAACCGACAAGGCACACAGAGGAAGACAAGACTAAATACAGAGAGGGGTAATCACAAGACAAGACACAGCTGGGGTAAGGGAGGCAGAAACACAAGGGCAACAGGTGAACACAATCAGACAATCAGACACACCAGGGAAACTAACGACAGGAAGGCAAACACAGGAAGAAGGATCAGACAAGACACAAGGAGGAAAACATTTAAAAATAAAAAGGTGGAAAATGAAAACAACCCAAAACCGTGACAATTAAGGCAAATTACAGCATATGTTTTTTTGAGTAAGTAGAACTGACCCTTTAAAAAAAAAATGTTTATGTCTGCCGACATCAGTGCTTCCACATCCTTCTCACACTGAGCTTGTGTACTGTAAATGAGAGTCTGATGCAGAGATCTTACAAAACCTGGAGGTGGCTAAATGAGTGTTAAACAACATAATACGTAATAAGGGGGGATGAGTCATGTGGAGGTGTGATCCTTCACTTCTGGCTGCAGGGAGATCCTCGTCTCAGGGATTTGTTCATGTCGAACAGAATATCACTTTCATCAGTAAGACTCCACCTGAGGGATCAAGGTTCCCTCAGTAAAGCACTTTAAAATGGGCTTTGGTTAGAACAGTCTTCTATAGTGTGGCAATGTGTGTTTATTAACAAAGTGGCATGATATGTAAAGGTGAGTTGCCTTTTCTCAAAATGAGGCTGTCAAGACTTCAGGTAATGCAATATTAACTCAGTAAGTCAAATGACAGTACCCTTTCTACTGTCAAGTCAGACATTTGCATGGGAATAAAATGTAAAGCAGGAAAGATAATGTGATAGAAGAGCAAAACTTAAATCTTTAACACACAGGTTAAGCACTTACTGTCTGACTACCAATTACTTGTGGTTTTGTTGAAAGGGTACATCATGTTTCATGTCCTTAATGTGATGGAGGATGTGAAGATAACATGCAGCCACACTCTCACCACTGTAGCCTATACTTTTCCTCTCCATAATGGGCTCTTCAGAGTAAGGAAATGTGCTGCTTTGTGTTGTTATGTTCCCTGAGTAAAGGTGCACACATCAGGAAACTGTTAGTTCACCAAAGGGAAGTGCACCTTGTTTTTCCATGAGACATTACTTAAAGGGGACCTATCATGCTATATTTGAACAATATATTATAGGGCCATACCTATATAAAGTATATAAATATAGATTTTTTTTCAAAATACCAAACAGATCATGCCTCATTTCGCTCCATTTGCTCTTTCCAGCCCTGTTTTTGCAGGGGGCTGATTCTGTGAGCTGCAGCTGACCACGCCCCCCTGCAGGAGAGGGGAGCGTGCTCTGATCAGCTGCTGGGCTGTCAGAAGAGGGGGAGAAAAAGAGATCTCCGTCCTCCGTGTTTTATTATATTGTTATATAGAGTCGTTATTCATTTGTTTTAAAGCTCAATAAATAACAAAGAAGACCTTTGACCGGCACTTTTCTAATTTTGTCCGGAAGATTTAAACTTTAACGGACATCTTGATCGGCGGAAAAAAATCGAACTGAAACTCTGCCGCACGGTCCCCTCGTTCCTTGGAAGAGGCGGAGAGGTGGGTGTTTGTCATCTGCTGGTGGACTAACCAGAGAGAATTACAGTGCTTGCCTCGACGGGGAGGGATTGCATTGAATTAAAGCAGCGGGAGCAAACGCTTGCCTCGGGGAGGGAGAAAAAAAGCCACAGCGGAGAATAAACAGAAGGGCAACCATGGCAACCATGCGCGGGAAGTCTTCTTCGCTGCTTTTGTGGCAGACTACAGCGCCACTTACAGGCCTGGCATATGTACTACAGCGTCTCCAGCGCTTTCGAGCGGCAATGGCCCAACCCCACATTCCCCTGATAGGTGGAGAGTTGGCCCAATAGCCGTAGCGCCACCGTCCTGACGTCAGTAAAGTGTTCAAATCTGGATCAGTTTTTATCAGATCCGTTGCAGCCCCGTTTTTAGAGATTTGGGTATGGAGGAAAAGAGAGAGGGTTGTGTTTTCTGACACTTGGTGAGTTCCCTGGAACACCGGGGACACATATTCATGTATAAAAGACGTACAAAAGTGCATTTTGCATGATAGGTCCCCTTTAAGAAAAAGTGTTTTTTATTTCTAGTGAATGGTAGAAGAAAGCCTTTTTTAATTAGACAAGCTCATATCATCACAGAGGCAAAATAACAAAGTGAAGAACTATATCAGATTTGCAGATTCAATAAGCCTTGAAACCTTTAATAAAGCATGCCTCATTTGAATCAGCCATAATATAGTTTGTATTTGTATTTTATTGTTTTGTTTTTAAGTGGACAAACATAAAATATAGAAATGATAAACAGTGCAGGAAGAGGCAAAAACAACACCTGGGTTATTCAGAAGCCTCCGCCTAAAACAGTGTTTACAATTTTGTAAAAAACACAAGATCACTATACAAATAATACCTCGAATTTAATAATAAAGGTACACTTTAGGAACAAAAATATACTAAAAACATCTACAATTATAATAAAATAACACATATTTAAAAGAAAAGAAGGTAAAATGTGAATATTATGTAAAGGATCTTTAAAACCGATTTCAAATTAATTCTTCTGGCATTTTAAAAACAATCCATAGATTGGTTTATGATAATAATGATAATAATAATATTATGTAATATTCCAGATTTGTATTCCCTTAAAACGGATGAAGTTTGAAGATCTATTGCCAACTAATTATTAAAACCTGGCTTTTTATTTTCCTCTCAACTACACACTAATAAGGTTCTGTGCTGTTTATAGACATACATATACTGTAAAGGCCATGATGAACACTCACAGAGGAATAACACCTGGCTCATGCTGCAGCGACTCATCCAAACACTTTTGTATTTTCACTCCACATCTAATTCACTCTCACCTCAGAAGTGCTCTGATATTGTACTGATTACACGTTCCAAATTAACTTAACACCAGTGGTTTATGTTATCAGTGTTTCTCATTAGTGAAAACACTTTGAGACACACTTGAATGACATTTCGATTTTAACATGACCATGGAGTATTGACAATGGAGTCTGGCAGTAGGTGGTCAATACCCATGACTCCTCCACAGTGGACACATTTGCATCAGCACATCTAAATGTTTGAGCATCTTTTAAAGGAAATACTCCCACTTCTGGTTTCTGTATTTTCTCATCTTAAGCCACAGGCGCTCTTTTCTAGATGAAAGCCTTACCCAGGCAGATAAGAAACACATTTCTTCCCACAATGCCTAAACCTCTGATCATTTCGGGACTGCTTATGGATTCCCTTAGGCTTCCAAAATTGATCCTCTTTTCCTCCACTACCTTTGTAGTGTCTCACTGATCGACAGGCTTGGCAATATAAGATGGCAGAACTGTCATTATAATGTATAGCATAATATATCATTCAAACATAAAATGTAATGTGTAGGAAATGTGGGGTTTCTCATCATAGGAACAGGAACTAGTTAGTGTTCTCATTTATTTCAGCCTGTATGTGCTTAGTGAGTTGTCTTGTTTTCAATAGGTCATCTTTCTAGTTTTTATTAATAAAACAGTATTCAGAATCAGAAACAGGTTTATTGCCAAGTAGGTTAACAAATACGTTGTCTTGGTGTACATGGTGCATAAATGAACAGTTAAAGAAGACACAAATTAAGAAAAAACAAAAAAAACAAAAAAATTAAAACAATTGAAACAATTTTACGTTAAGATATATATATTTTTTACATTAAATCTGGATATAAATAATTTTCTATATCTTAACGTATAATATTTTCAATTGTAATGAAGCAATTCTTCATTAGGCTATATTATGCGTGTAATGCCTCTGAAGCAGCCTTTTTTATCCGTGGCTACCTTCTCATGTTTTTTGGGCAAATTTCAAGCCAATGCTAACTGCTGCAAAACAGAATTGAAGAAGAAGAAGAAGAAGAAGAAGAAGAAGAAGAAGAACTGTTGCGCGACTTTCAATACTTATTCATCATCTGCAACGGCAAGTTACATTTCTTTACAGCAAAATAAATGAAATGCCTTACTCCGCCATTTGGAACAGGAGGAAATGTAAATGTGAATCACGGTGCACTTTAAAAGCTTTTATCCACGATTGTGGACAATAGTAACAGTAAAAGCACTCAGTTGCCTCATGTGGAGAGCATCTCAATGGAGATTTTTTTTAAATGCAGTGTTCTTCAAGTGCTTTCCACAAAGATTTTGTTATGAAAAAGGGTTAGATACGGAGAATTTGGTCAAGTTTTTATAGGGGAAGAAACATTTATTTGATTATTTCTGAAAATAAATGGAAAACTGCTTGTTCTGCACGTGACTCATTTACCTTCTTTTACTGAGCTATAACATTGTCAAGCTCACAATTACTTTTTGGATACAAATCATTTTCTGTCTATGACAAAACTTGTGACAAAGCACAACCAATTAGCTTCATCCATAATACATTTTCAATGCAAGTTCTGAAAAACAGCTCACGTTTACACTGTGGGGCAATACATCTGTGCATCTTTCAATCTACTTGCCTGACAACCAATTTAACAATTCAGGATCAAACGTCTTCATCAATTCCAACCGAGACATTTATCTTTGAGGAGCTCTCTGCAATCTCATTGGCTAACTGTCATTTTCATAGACATCTCTCTCCCCCCCCGCCCCCCCCACCCCTCTCTGTATTACAGCAGCAGCTCCAGCTCACTGACTGTGCAGTAGCGCACAAGGAAGGTCCGCTCTTCTCTAACTCAAACACACTCAACTCATCTGAGAAACACCAACACTGGTGAGTTATTGTGCAATTATTATTTATAATTCATCTGAGTTTATATTATTTTGCATTGTTTAATTTTAAACTTGTGCTTGAGTCCTTTCTTTAAGACAGAATAAAATAACTCAATATGTTAAACTAGAGAATCTATTCTTGGCATTTACAATAACAAACACCGTCCAGACTGCTTATGCACATCATTATTTCCTCTTTGTATGTTATTCAGGAAAATTGTCCAGGGTTCATTATGTAAAGGAATGAAGAATCTGCACACCCTAGATAATGCATATCTATTTCAAAATTCCCCCATGTACTGTATAGACTTCTATAATAAATCCGTACTACAGTATGTAAATCACCTGTGAAATAAATATAAGGGAGCAGCTTTGAATATGAAATATTTCATGAGGGAACAGACTCTGTAAGCATCTACTCCAAAGGGAGGAGCAAGGGGAAAATATGTTGTTTCTATAAGCTGCACTGTAACATCCAAGTTAATAACATGCTGTGATTTGATTGGAATACAACAACAAGGAATATATACGTATACCGCAGTTGAGACAGAGTTAGGCTCCTTTTGTTGCCTTGCTTAAGGCAAGGAAAATAACTCACAATCTACACTTAACACTTGGTCCAGACTTCAGTCTCCAAGCCAAATTCATTTGAAATGAAAATACTGATTTTGTTCATAAAGCTGAATATTTGAGCATTACATTTCTGTAATGATCATTTTAAATATATTAAATGTGTTCTGATTAATAACATTTGGTAGTCTATAAGATGAGAACAGCAAGTACGGCATCGTTTTAATAACTATGTATCACACACACACACACACACACACACACACACACACACACACACACACACACACACACACACACACACACACACACACACACACACAGACACAGACACAGACACAGACACAGACACATGCACACACATACACACACAAAGACGCACGCAGACACAAATCTCCCCTTCACTGTAAAAGTAGTGATAAGTCGCTGCGTATATTAATTAAATGTAGAAAAAAGGTCCAAGGTCTTCCTTTGTACCGCTTCACTGTACAAGTGAGTCACAGTTATGCAATGTAACAAGGGGGAATGTGAGAAAAATATGTGGAATAGACGTAAAAATAACAAAGAAAAAGATAGTGGGTCATACCACTGAATATCTCTTCAATATTTAAAAAAATGAATGGACTGCATTTATAAAGTGCTTTTTCAGTTTTTAAATATTCAGGTCAGCGTGACATTCACACCCATTTATACAGAGGTTACCAAGGTGACACCTGCTCAACACCATCGGGAGCAATTTGGGGTTAAACATCTTGCCCAAGTACAACCGCAGGGGCTGCTGGAGATCAAACTAAAGTTGTGAATGACATGCTTCATAAAACAATTTGTATTGTGATTTTATGTTCTGTTAATTTATAAATGTAATCTGATTCCCCAGGAAGCATTGCATGTGATGAAGTATAAAAGGCATCAGTGACTGTCTGTGCTCAATGTATTAGCATTAAGTTAAAAACAGTAAACATGTGGTATCTTAAAAAGTATTTGAGATTGTTTTGAATAGGCATTATAGTTTTGTTTTGTATATACTTTACTGCCTAAATGTTGTATTTATTCTTTATCTTAAAATAGAAGTATGAATAGAAGTATGAACAACACATAGGAGAGTGTCCTCATTCACAGACAAGACAAAGTACATTATCTTGTTGCTGAAAAAAGCAATTTTCAGTCCAATTCCAAACATTGCATCAGCAAGCCACGTTCAACATAACGCTTTGAAGTCATTTTGCATTGGAGACTTAATGTTTAAAAAGCTCCTGCCAGAGGGAATAGAATGTAACAAACTTACCTTAAAATTGAAGTTTTGCCCAAGTGAAGTCGTCACTCTTCTTCTCCTGCGTTGAGATAAAGTAGAATCAATCACTGTAAAGCATTTTGTGACATATCGCTAGTTTAATGCAATTATCCATGTAAGGTCATGTAAAACTGTTGAAAAACAGACATCTCTACATGCAGACACATCCTTGACATTTTCCATTTACAAATTACACAATCACGGAGGAAGCAAAATGATGTGTTGCTCATCTTACTGTAGCTATTCACTTACCTTTATAATTATATGCACTCTCCACATCTTACTTCGATTATTATTAAATAATACTCTTCCATTTTTGAAATGTCATGAAGTTGTTTACAGGTACATTTGCATGCATCCTTACATTTATTACTAATTTGACCTTTGGAAAAGTTCTCTGTGTTTTGTCCTAACAGCTGCAACATATTCTAATGTGTCAGGTACTGGCAGATTGAGCTTTGCTGCCATGGAGGGAAATCACAGTGCAGAACAGACAGGCCGACATGTTTACGAGGTCGCGGTGCAGAACAGCTCCACCAACCTCAGCTCCCAGTTTGCAGATGTGGCTCTGCTGCAGACGTTCAAGCCCCTCATCATCCCCTGCTACGTGCTCGTGGTGGTGGTGGGCGTCTTTGGGAATTATCTGCTCCTGTATGTCATCTGCCGAACCCGCAAGATGCACAATGTCACCAACTTCTTCATCGGGAACCTGGCCTTCTCTGACATGCTCATGTGTGTCACCTGCGTCCCCTTCACTCTGGCCTATGCCTTTAACCCCCACGGCTGGGTCTTCGGAGGCCCCATGTGCTACCTGGTGTTCCTCATCCAGCCGGTCACAGTCTACGTGTCAGTCTTCACGCTCACTGCTATTGCTGTGGACAGGTAAGCAGACGGGACATTTGGATTATTTCCCTTTCAATTATCTTCAAAAATGAGTGGTTTATGTAACATGATTGCATTGCCATAGTGGCTGAGAATGTCTTGAATGACAGATTTGAACCTAAAGCAGAGGTGGGAAGTAGTGAAAATAAATCCTACTTCGTTACTGTTCTTAAGACCATTTTTCTGGTATCAGTACTTTACTCCACGACTTTTTACTTTTACTTCTTCCATTTTTAACACAAATACCTGTACTTTCTACATCTTACATTTTCAAAACAGGTTCGTTAGTTTAGTTCTAATCTGTGTTTGGTGGCGTGATCATTATTATTTCAGTCATTGCGTGCCTATTGATTTGAACACGATCCGTGTATCCATCATTTCCTGGTCTTCTCTAAAGAAGAGGGACCAATGAAAACGTTGTCATGTTGCCGTTGTTCAGCATCCAAACATTCATTAGCTAACAATGACATTATTGTTCTATTAATATAAAGGGAGGTCAGGTACTCTTTAAAACAGCTGGTAGTTATGGGTACTTTTTACTTAAGTACATTTTGAAGCCCATACTTCTTTACTTTTACTTAAAGTAAATAAGAGTAGAGTAATTAAGTTTAGTCAGTACTCTTTTACCAGAGTATTGTATTTTTAAACACGAGTATCTGTACTTCTACTTGAGTAAAGGATGTGTGTACTTTTGCCATCTCTGACCTAAAGTCTCTCTCACAACCCCAACCCATCAGAGACTCTTCCTCCCTCACCGCATTCAAAAGATCCCTCAAAACCCACCTGTTCAACACTGCATTCAAACTCAGACCACCCCCCCACCCTCATCTATTCTGTTTTGTTTATCTATTTATGTATTTTTCTTCGTTCTTTCTGTTTTACTCTCGTCTTTGAGTTTTTAGAAAAGCGCTATATAAGTGTCATTTATTATTATTATTATTATTATTATTATTATTATTATTATTAAAGTGACCATCCTGATTAAAGGACAACAGACTAACACAACAAAATGATGAGACCCCCCTCCTCCATACTGTATCTTTGTTTCACATTTAAGTACCATTTTCTTCTCAGTGTGATTGGAGTGTAACTGACATCTAAGAAATTAGACTGTTCCAGGAAATGTAATCATTGAAAATTATCTTTTAATTTATACTAATTTGGAAATTAAGGATATATGGAGATGGATTGATGAAGTGACCCTCACTTTAAGAGTAACTATAAGTGTCACTACTTATGCTTAATGAATTAGAATGAATCATCATGATTCAGTGCATGCTTTGTTGATTGACGCAACAAAGACCCCTTATGGATTAATATAAATAAATTATTAGGTTTGTGTTAGCTCATGTAACGGATGCATGTATTAGATTCTTTGATTCATTCAAATCATAAATGAATCATTCAGAAATACATAGCCCCCTACTGTAAGGGAGACTCTCATTAATGTTTCATGATGTGTTTAACTAAGCTTTTTAAATCCATTTGTTAATTCATAAACAAATACCAAATGCTAAATAACTGTGCAGCAGTGTGTGTATGATGGCATCTGATCAAGAATATCCAATTATCCAGCTTTATATTTTGCACACAGGAGAACAAAATCAGGTATGTGCTGCCGACACATCCCATCGGCCTTAGATCTGTGATCACTGTCCTGAAAACTCAAACAGCCTGAGTAAAGCTTCCTGCAGTGTTGCATGTCAATTGTTGATTTCTCTTCCTTCAGTGACCAAGAGAGCATCGTAGATGGAGGCTTTTAAAGCAACAGTTGCAAAACTGTCTTGGCTTGTTACTGCTCCACTGCTTTCGAATTATAAACACCTCCGCTAAAACCTAAAAGACAATAAAGCCTTGAAACCTTGAAACTTAAAAATTAAAAATCTTTTGAATTTTGGTGACATTTAAAGCTCTGTTGTTAATAGTTGTGTTGCCTTTATGTAACACACAATGTGTTGCATACCTCCCAATAAAAGGTGCAATAATAAGGATTTTTATTAAGATTATTATTTAGATTTAATCAACTCAACTTAACATTTAGCAATTCATAAGCTAATTGGAATTTTAATTTGTATCAGAATTGTGCTGCAGGTCATTATAAATCATGCTTTAATTGTCCATTGGATCATAGCCATGCGTTTCCCTTATTATTAAAGCCTGCTCTTTCATTACTGCAGATATTATGCAACAGTTCATCCCCTGAAGAAGCGTACCTCTGTGGCGACCTGCGCCTGCGTCCTGACCGGCATCTGGCTGCTGTCCTGCGGCCTGGTGACCCCCGCCATCACACACACATACCATGTGGAGTTCAAAGAGGAAGGCTTCAACATCTGTGAGGAATTCTGGTTGGACAAAGAGAAAGAGAGACGTGTGTATGCATACAGCACCCTGCTGGTCACGTACGTCCTGCCGCTTTCTGCTGTCTTTGTGTCTTACCTCTGTATCACTGTCAAACTGAAGAAGTGTGTCGCTCCTGGCCACCGGACACCAAACCAGACGGGAGCTCAACAGGCTCGCAAGAGGAAGATCTTCCGCCTGGTTGCCCTCCTGGTGACGGCCTTTGCAGTGTGTTGGCTTCCCATTCATGTGTTCAATGTGCTGCGAGACATAGACATCCACCTCATTAACAAGCGCTACTTTTTACTCATCCAACTGCTGTGCCACCTGTGTGCCATGAGCTCCTCCTGCTGTAACCCCTTCCTGTACGCATGGCTACACGACCGCTTCCGCACCGAGCTACGGAAGATGTTCAAGTGCCATCGTCGCATTGGAGTGCCGGCTAATAACTGTGGAAGTGTGGTCTTGTAATTACCTGATCATTTGCTATTATATCAGTGTCGGTAGGTTTCTCATCTGGAGTGCAAGTGGAGTCTTTAGATCAAACTGAAATACGGCCACCAGTAAAATCCACAGAAACTTACAATACAATTCAGCCATTATTCATTCAAGGTGGTCTGTTGGCAGGGGGTGGCTCTGGAAGAAAGGTCAATCTGTTATGAAGAATAAAGGGGAATTTTGAAGGTTATCTCTCCATCACAGTTTGAGATATAAGAAAAACTGACGGGACCAACTGGTGCTCATCCTCTGTGGATCATGAACATATGTCGATGTTATCGCAAACCAGCAATACATCTTGTACAATGGGTTCATGAATGTGCCAAATAAAGTTCATGACCATGTGCCAATTCCATGAATCTAAAGAGCAGATGATGTAACTGTAGCATCATCTACTGCATTGCATTTCTTGAAAATTAGGCCAATCATTTGTTAGATAAAAGTTAAATTCCTCTCTTGCTGTTAAATGACAATTAATCAAATTGTCATCATTTAAAACTTGTAAGACATTTGTGTGGAATTGAAATAATTACCAACCGTTTGAATTATGGTTAAAATGTGTTTTGTGTAGTCAGAGTAAGCTTGATCTTTGACCACCACCTTAATACTTAGACTTTTTTGCCAAATTTGAAGGAAATTCCCTCGAAACGCTGAGATATAGCAGTAACGTAAATGGGAACGTAACAAAGGTCAACCCTGCAAACGTTATAAGTCTGGCCACGGCTGTCCTTAGCAGGGGGAATTTTTAAAAAGCCTGGCTCAATGAACGGTACAAACATTTTCCTACTCTGAAAAATCTATAAATATCAATACAAATTGTTAGAGAATCCTTGAGAATCTGAAACACTTAATGAAGTATGTTGTACATATGCTGCACATCAGACCTTTATATAAGGATGAGAACGTGCTTGTCATAAGAAGATTTCTTATGCACGAGATCTTAAGCCCTTCCTTTAAAATGGATGACGATACAAATCTGAAATGACATAGAAAAAAAAGACAGGAGTTATGCATGATGAACTCAAGTGTAGCTTTATTGGATATGAATAGAAAAAAAATAGCCTGCCTGGTCATATTGTGTTTGAATATGTTCGCTGCAGATGTGAATTTCCCACCAGCGCACAGAAGGAATCCTGGTGTGCCTTCCCGTGGAATAAATTACATTTATTAACCTGCACCCCTGGGCTTTAATTTTCTTTAAGCCTGTGGTTGATGAATATGTTCCCTAACATTATAATTGAGCTCATTATTTCAGAAAGCATTGTAGAACGGCTGGAAAACATCTCTGTTGCTTGTGTCCGTGTTACCTGCCTCCTTTCTATTGCTTCTTGAGATTGTATCTAATATGTGCAAGACTGATTTCCATTTCCACTATCTTCATTCCACTTCCATTATTTAGTTTATGTCACAGCTGTCATGTCACCTCTTCTGTATTCTCTCTTTTGATATCTGTCTCTTCCTGCAGACGGACGGGACAGATTTATCTTTGCAGCAGTGATAACTCAACAAAGTGCTACTGTCACTAAAATGATTAAACCTCATCTACAGCGGTGCGGATGTAAAACACATGTGCCTTTATGTTTGCTCTTCTCCCATCAACATTTGCTTTATGAAGTGATTTAAGTGCTGAGTGCACACTGTCGACCACATCATGGTGTAAATTGTGTAAATGATTTGTGACATGCAAAGAAAATCATCCTGTACTAACAATACACTGGAATAAAAATACAGATGTACAATGACCTCTCTGCTTCGATCAATGTGACCGCATGAGTACATTTCATTATATCGGACTTGTTCAGTGTGGTTTCAAGGCTGAATTTACTAATTAAATAACGGGGAGGACAGAAGTGTTTTATGCATATTCACTAGACAAGTTTAGGACATTGAAACAAAGTGAGAATTTATTGATTGTTTTAGCAGACGAGGTGCTTGCCAACAATGACGTTCATTTCCTGCAGATGAATATTGTTAATTTTATTGAGCCTGTGAAGAGTCAAATTCTGCACAATTCTGTTCCTGTTCATCAAATTAGAATATTTGATCATAAAATAAGGCCTGTAAAACACAAGGCGAGTATTTCCTGAATGTCAGCTGCATGTATTATTCCCTGCTCTATACCTACGGAGTCTGCATTTTAACATTGTAGAGGGTAGCACTGAATCAGTATCTAGTATCCTGGATCATATATTCAAAAATTCTCAGGGGCTGAAATTAATCTAGCATTTCATAGTTGCGCTTTTCTTTTGAAGGATTTGTCAATTTCATCACATACTCTTGAAATGAAAGGAGGTTATTACTCTGAAAAGATGGATTTCACCGCGCAATCATTCACAGGTATTATTCACACTGTCATGCTGGCATTTCTTGCGAATCCGTAATGGAGAAGAAGTATCTTTGATATGTTTTTATGCGTTATGAAATGACTCATTGCTAAGTAGATATTCAATCCACATAATAAGGCTTCATTGGAGGCTCAGTGTAATAGACCTTTTTACAAGTGGACCTCTTGATTTGTCAGGAATGGTACGCTTTACTAATAACATTAATGATGGCTCAAGTGTCCCAGTTAACCATGTCAGTGTGACATTGAGCCAACAAGCAATACACAGGACCCTGAAACTGAAGCAGATAAATCAAGATTCAGCGATCAGTAATTGCGCTTTTTATACGGTTAGATTCCTAAATATAAGGGAAAAAGTTACATTTAAAGAAAAGAAGGGATACTACAGACATCCCAGTTGAGAAATACTTTCATATCAGGCAATTTGATGAGGGTGGTGTGCAAAACAAAAAAAATTCAACTTATTCTTATATTTCCTTTAAGAAAAAGAGAAGCATTTCCCAGTTTGTCAAAGAGCTCTTAAAAGGTCCCATGTCATGCTTTTCCGGTTATTACCCGTCCCCTTGTGTTATGTAGCCTTTTCTGCATGTGAACGGTCTGCAAAGTCACAAACCCTCAAAGTACACCCTGTAGCGAATAAAACTCTAACACAGAAAATACCTGTCTATGCTGCCCCAGAACGCCTCGTTGGAGATTTTTCATTTTTTTCCTTCCTGAGTATAGTGACGTAACGATACCCAGGTCCAAATGGACCAATCCGCGGAGCTCCTCACACACACACACTCACTTATCTTTTCTCAGCCGCGGCTCCGCGGATCTCCGCACACAGCCAGGCCGTGAGTGTGTGTGTGTGTGCTCAGGCTGAGTTCCGCAGTGTCTCGCTGTCTCGCAGACCCAGACATCAGTAATACAGCTCACTGTCCGCTCCTCGAGCCTCAAAGGGCGGAGCAGCGAGCCCCGCAACGTCCCGCCAACACGGCACCCAGACCCCACGCAGCATTCTCATCTCTTTGTCATTACTGGTGTCATTTTCTGGTTGCTAACAAACGCATAAACACTGATGTTCCGCTGTAACGGTGGTTGACTAATCAGAACAGAGTGGGCGAGCTGACCAATCAGAGCACAGTGGGCTCATAGGGAGGGGGGGGGGGGCAGGAGCTCCAACAAGCCGTTTAGGACAGAGAGTGAATACACATACTATACAGAGATGCTGTATGAGAAACCAATGTGAGTTTGGAACATTGAACAATGTAAATCTATTCTTTTAGACCTCAACATTGGAATTATGATCAGTAGAAATGGCCATGACATGGGACCTTTAACACTGCTTTTTCCATTGATTGCACATAAACTGTCCGAAATCATATATTTTTTTAACCACTTCAACATAACTTTATTTGAAAGTGCACCATCAACAAAAGCAAAAACACAATCGGTTACTGTAGAAAACTACATAAAATTGGTTGTAGCATCCCTTATCATGAACTGAAACTAAAGGGAAAGGAAAATACCTGAATCCTTATTCGAAGTCTGGTTATGTTTTCTCACTCTCAGACAACAGCTTCTGCGTCAGAGCAAACTCCCGCGCTTCCCGAGGAGTGCGGATGTACGAGTCAATTTCACTGTCTGAGATTTCTTCATCCCCAGTCACATCTTTGCACTCGGGCCGCTCCACTCTCCTCCTCTTCGGATGCACCACACACGGGGGCGCAAACAGCACTCGCTTCCCCCAGTTTGGTGCTGGAGCCTGGCTCTCTCCTCCTCCAGTGTTCCCCTCAGGCTCTGTGTGTGGATTATCATCTCCATCTCTGGGTCTCTGGGCGCTTTCAGCATTCAGTTCACATTCTTCTGCAGTGGGAGCATTTGAATTCTGCTCTCCATGCTCGGATACTTGTGAGGAAGCAGCCTCCTCAGGTAGAGAGTCCTCACCACTGGCCTCACTTTCTGCCTGCAGAGTTTCCTCATGTGTTCTCAGAGCCCTCCTCAGCAGAGCGAACCTGTGATTTAAAATATCCTCCACCTGCCGCATAACATTATCTGGCGTCACCGCCTCCCTGACCCAAGGAATCTCCCTCCCCAGCTTGCAGAGCACCTCCTTCATCTCAGCGATCCTCTTCATAGCAGGCTTCAGCTTATTCACTTTGGCTATCTGACAGAACTTGTCCAGAGTGAGTTTCAGGCGGTGCTTGTTGGGTTTCAAGGACTGCCACGACAGATAGATTGAGGCCATCATGATGGGGGTGGGATGACGGCCAGTCACGATCCAGGTGTCTGCTGCCAGCTCCACCAGGGCCACGGCACGCTTCGTCAAGTCCCTCGAGTTCTCTGCCAGCTCTTCAGGAACGTGAAGTGAGCTGATTTTATACCTGGCAGAAAAAAGGTTTTCATTAACTATAGAACTGACCTTGAATGTTTTTTAGAAATACATGTGTACATGTGTAATAAATGTGTCTAAAGGAAAAAAGCTCAATTTATTTTAGGCCTGGGTGATACAGGCTCTACAATAGGCTTTAACATTAGAATAACTACCAGGCAGTCTTCTATTAAATGAGACTTGTGTGTGTAAAAGAGAACAACCGCTGATGCTTGGATGAGTCAGAATTAGCATTTTTATTTTATCCATTGCTATTGTGCACTACAGAGGGATTAAGACAGAACAAAATCTGACTAAAATGTTCAAGCCAAGTTACATCCAAATATCTACCATTTGTAAAACCAGCTGTAGAGAAGACACTAGTCCACAATATCTGCTCAACCAATCGCACAATATGTGAAATGTATTAGATTTGCAGCACCATCCCACACGTAACCTTTGCTGCTGGTCTTTAAAGCAGCCATTAGTTGTGAAAAGACTTTAACCTGCACTTTATTTTTAATAAGAGAGTTCATAATGTTGTGACGGAAGATGCTTTTAAAAAAAGACCTATTTCCAGTTTGCTTGACATCATTTCAGTGCTGCTTTCAATCTATAAAATAAATTATTTTAATTACAAATAATCAACCATCTAAAAACTACATCGATACATCCATAGCATATGCAGTTCAATAAAACCATGTTGCTTAAAATCACCAATGATA